AGCACAAAAGCAGTTGTCTGGAACCTGATCTAAAAAGGGCATGAAATAACTTCAGGGGGGTGAAAAAATTACTCTCTACTTTATCTTGGTTATTGTTTCAAAGATGCATACAACAGTTAAAGCTCATCAGACTATATACTTAAAGAGAGCATATTTTTCTATTTGTAAATTTTACCTCACTAAAGTTAATATTAAAAGTAAATACAATAAATATAAACGAGAGAAAAATGGACATTTTCAGAAAAAAAAAAATCTGGCTTGACCTCACTAATGGAAATTCAAAAAGGTCCACTTCAAGAAGATCTGATCCCACATGGAAAGTCAGAGATATGGAATCAACCTTAGCATTGTTATTTTCCACATAGATGAGTTAAAGAAACTTTTGACACATTGTACTTTTATATATTTAGAAGACTCGTGTTTTTTACTTTTTTGAAAATTATACTTTGACTCTTTTCATGGTCAGGATATACCCATACACCCAAGTGGACACATGTGGCACACGTCACACATGTTAGAGTCAACCAACTAAACTATGTGGCCCCAGAGAAGCCTGTTGTGGGCTATGCAAGCCCAGGCATGTCTCTTCCAGGCTCTGAGTATGTCCTGAGAAGCAGCAGAATTGGATTTTCACCAACTCTGTGTTTCTCTTTTCTTCCTGAATCTGTGCTTTTATTTTTGATTTTGAATGTTGGCCAAGTTTGGTTCTGGTTCTAATTTGTGCACAGCCAATATTTTATACAAATATCATATGATATTACTTACATGTGAAATCCAAAATAAGAGATACAAATGAGCTTATTTACAAAACAGAAATATATCCACATGCATAGAACACAAACAAGGTTACTGAAGGAAAAAGGGGTTGGAGGGAGGGATAAGTAAACAGGTTGGGAGTACACATACAAGCTACTATATATAAAATAGATAACCCACCTAAAACTATCATAACATTGTTAATCGGCCATATTTCAATGCAAAATAGAATGATTAAAAAATTAAAATATTTATTATATGTTGAAATGATAATATGTTGGATAAAATAAATTATATTTAAAATAAATTTTAATGTATGAAAAAAGATAACTGACAAAGACCTACAGTATGGCATAGGAAATTGTATTCAATATTTTGTAATAAGTTATGAGGAAAGAAATGAAAATATATATATATTCAGCAATATATAATCAATGATATATATATTCAGTGATACATATATATCTTCAGTGATACATATATATATATCATTGAATCACTATGCTGAAACACCTGAAACTAATACAATGTTGTAAATAAACTTCACTTCAATAACATATAAATAAATAAATAATTTTTAAGAAGAGCCAGTGGGCACTTCCCCTGCATTCTCCTTCTGACTTGCTTCAATAATAAAATAAAATCACCAGCTTCTCCCCGGAAGGAACTTGTCTACACATTCTGTGCCCCAATGTTTATGGCTGAGGGATAGCATCTAAGGGATAAGACCTGAAATCAACTAGCTCAGATATCCAATGGGGCTCTGCATTCAGGAGTCTCATAGGACTGAAGCAAACAAAGAAGCAAGATTTAAATGGGTGTGCAAGCATTTCTTACAACTATGCTGTCAACCTTGGCACAGAGGGAACAGGCAAAATGCCCATCTCCTATTGTTTTCCTGGGAGGAGTTTGCATACTGGGGACAGCTGCTGCCTGAGGGTCTGGCTTCTGATCAGCCTACAACTAGGTACTGACTGAAATCATCCTGGAGACCAAAAGAGCTGGTGGGCACTTTCCCAGCATTCTCCTCCAGCTCAGGCAATAATATCAAGTTGCCAGCTTTTTCCTGGCAGGAGTTTGTCCATGCATCTAGCACCCCAACTTCTGCAACTGCTACCCAAGTAACTAGTCCTTGAAATCACCTAGTTCTGATAACCAACAGGGCTCAGCATTCATGACTTACACAGAATAACATTAAATTAAAAAAAAAACAAAACAATTTTCGAACAGCACTCAAGCACTTTCCACAGAAATCTATCCCCCAAGTTTGGTGCAGAGGGAGTAGGCAAATATGTCCACCTTCCAGTTTTTCCTGGAAGGAATTAGAATGCATGCTTTCCCAGCTGCTGCCTGTGATTCCAGATTAAAATCAGTCTGTAGGGGGATGGGGGTGAGAAGCTGACTGAGATCCTCCAGAAAGTCTGAAGAGCAGGAGCCAGATCACTCCAATAATAAAATGAATGTCCACACATCTAGCACCAGAACCACTGCAGCTGCTACCCAAGGGATTGGCTCTCAAATGATATAGCTCTGAGAGCTAAGAGCGCTCACCATTCAAAATCCCACAAAAGACAGGACTACACAAAACAAGCAGGCAGTTATACTTGGGGCACAGGCACTCCCAAGGACAGTTCCTTCTGGCTCAGCACAGAGTGAATGAGCAAAAACACCCAGCTCACAATTTCTCCCTGATATGGGCTAGACTGTTTAATGTTCTCACTTTTTCGGCTGCACCTAAAGGTTGGGTTTCCAATTAGCCTGCATCAGGGAGTTAAAGGGGAAGACAATTAGTACTTACCTGGGAGCCTGACCAGGTTTGGGACATTGATAGGTCTTGACACATCTTCCTGTACTAGGAGCCATGAAGAACAAAGATAACAGCTTGGATGATCACAAAACCTTAAGCGGCAACCAGGTTCTCAGTGCAGGCTGACTGATAAGGTTCATCTCCTATATGAGGCAAGTCAGTCGACACTAGGAGAGGGCTGTTTCATCTAATGTGTAAAGACCAACACAGTCAAGGAAAATGAAGAAATAGGGGAGTACATTTCAAACAAAAGTATTGGATAAATCACTAGAAATCAATCTTAATAAAAGGGAGATAAGTGACTTATTTACTAGATAGAGAGTTCAAAATAAAGGTCATAAAGATGCTCACTGAGGTCTGCAGAGCAGTGTTTGAACAAAATAGAAATTTCAGCAAACAGAAAATATTAAAAGGTACCAAACAGGGAATTCACTTGCAGCCTAGTGGTTAGGACTCCACGCTTCCACTGCTGAGGGCCTAGGTTCAATCCCTGGTCAGGGAATTAAGATCCCACAAGTCTCATGGTGTGAGGAGGGAGGTAAGAGAGAAAAAGTGTATGGAGATAAATGTATCATTAAAAATAGAAAAATAACAATAAAAAGTACCAAACAGAAATCATAGAGCTGAAAAATCTGATAATTGAACTAAAAAAAGTTTAATAGAAAAGTTCAACAGACTAGTCAAGAGGAAAAAGTCTCCCTGAACTCAAAGACAAAGCAGTAGAGATCATCCAATCAGAGGGGCAAAAAGAAAGGAGAATGAAAGGAGTGAAGATTAAGATACCTGTGGGTCACCACCAAGCATGACAGAATCAGATTACAGATCTTTGTCAGGTAGATAACTTGTCTATTTAGTTTCTTGATTACCAGATGAAGAGAAGACACAGCTAAACAGGATAAAGATCATAAGATCCTGGAATTCAAGAATAAGGGTGTAACTGAATGAGATTTTGGACATGCTCAGATAGAAATGAGCATGTTTTGTATATGAGAGAAGTGTGAAAAAAATCAAGAGGATATACTGAGATAGAATGCCTCATTTTCATGAAATTCTTTAATTCTAACTGTACCTATACCTTTGGAAAATAATTTTGTTGTATCCTTCACCATGGGTTTCCCAGGTGGCACAGTGGCACAGTAGTAAATCCGCCTGCCAATGCAGGAGATGCAGGTTCAATCCCTGGGTTGGGAAGATCCCCAGAGAAGGAAATGGCTAGGCACTCCAGTATTTTTGCATGGAAATTCCCATGGACAGAGGAGCCTGGTGGGCTACAGTTCATGGGGTTGCAAGGAGTGGGACATGACTTAGCATGCATGCACACGTATGCACATCCTCCACTACAGGCACATCATATAGGTTTTAAATGGTTTCCACACTGGGGCTGCCCCAGGCTTGTTCATCTTTAATTACCATGAGAACATGCCCAGGAGAGTACACTGGTCCCAAAAGGAGAATAAGTGAAGCATTGAATCAAGTTTTTCCAGAAAGATTTAACCTAAACTGACAATCAGGGTCTTCCCAGGTGCTTCAGTGGCAAAGAATCTGCCTGTCAATGCAGGAGCCACAGGAGACATGAGTTTGATCCCTGGTCAGGAATAGCAACCAATATTCTTGCTGGGATAATCTGATGGACACAGGAGCTTGGCAGGCTACGGCCCTTGGAGTCACAGAGAATCAGACACTACTGAATAACTGAGCACGCATGCAAACTGACAATCAGCCAAACTGTAACTGGCTCCCAGATACATACAAATCTCATTGAAAAATCATTTGAACAGCTGTTTCTTTTAATATAATCTACTCTTTCTTGAAGAGTTGACTCATTGGAAAAGACCCTGGGAGGGATTGGGGGCGGGAGGAGAAGGGGACGACAGAGGATGAGATGGCTGGATGACATCACCGACTCGATGGGCATGAGTTTGAGTAAACTCCGGGAGTTGGTGATGGACAGGGAGGCCTGGAGTGCTGCGATTCAGGGGGTCGCAAAGAGTCGGACATGACTGAGCGACTGAACTGAACTGAACTCTTTCTCTCTGGTTACTTGAGAGATTTTCTCCTGGTTTCTGGTGGTGTTGATAAGTTAAATTGTCTCCATTATCTTGTCTGAGATTCAATAATTTTCTTTTTAATTAATGCCTTGAATATTTTGGAAAAATCTCAGCAACATTGGTTCCACTCCAATTTTTTCTCTCCCACTTCTCAGAAATACAGAAGTGTGTTAGAATTTCTGTCTATAACCTTCATATCCCCTCCCCTCTAGCCTGTATTGTCCATCTCTGTCTCTCTATTTCTCGTTCTGGGTAGTAATCATCTAATTCACTAATTTGTTCTTCAACACTGTCTAATTGGTTATTAAATACATCTGTCGACCTCTTAATTTTGAGTATTCATTTTATCAGTCCTATTGTTTCAATGATAAGAACAGTCTCTTACTCTTCTATAAATCATCTTTGGTGGGGAAACTGGAAAAAACAACAACAACAAAAACACAGGATGCCAACATCTTAAAGAAAGCCTTTTAATTTTAGTAGTGTTAAGGAAAAATAGGAAGCATTCCCTTCTGTTTCCAAAATGTAGCCACAGAGTAGGTAAAATCATGATCCAGTCATTCTTCACCAAGTTGGATGGCCGTTCGTCTACTGCTTGGTTATTACGGCAGGCTCTCACTCAGAAAGTCAAGGAACAGAACTTCATCTCCACATGCCATTCAAATAAGCAGCATATAATACGTCATCACAGAGACATCGTTCCAGTCCATGGCTTTTATTTTTCAGGTGTCTTTATTCACTACCTCCAATGTTAGAAAGGTTTTGGGCCTTAACTCTGTAATTTTGAGATTATCTATCAATAATTTGCTCAGGCAATACACAAACTAAAGACTACTCAATTTCTAATGTATTCAACTTGAGTTGAACTTTACTATTTTCATTATCTACAGTGATTTTTAGAAAATTATTTAGACATTTTTTAACTTATTATGAAATTTTTCAAATATAAATCATTAAATATAATGATGACAGCAACTAAATGGGAGAACTCTAACTGATAGATATGTATTCATCTAGTTTTCTAAGTGTCAGAGAACACTGCCAGTCTTCTCTATGGTCTTAGGATACTTACATCATTCTCAGCACCAGGGCTAATTTGAAAGAATACTTGCACTTATGACTTCATCAAGAACATTAAAACTAACATATTTAAAATGATTTACTTGTTATTTTTTCTCTTCTTACTCTAAACTTATGGCAAACAAAACAACACTTTACTTTTATTGCATTTTCATACAGATATGCCAATATACTCTACTTGATAATACAGTCTGTATACTTCTTTCATATTTAATAGCACCATTAGCAAGCAAAATTCTCCCATCTGCTTGTGTTCCCGCTTATGAATGAATCTGGATTATTTTATTATAGTAGTAAAAGCGGCAATACATAAACACAAATATATTCAAGCATTACACAAAATATGTACTATGCTTTACAAATTTGCTTCTCTACATCTATGTCCTTTCTTCTCTAACAAAGAACTAAAAAATGTTATGGATCTAATTTGTTTCTTTTCATTGTTGTATCAGTTGCCACAGTATATCTGTATCAGTATGCCACAATATAATTATTCATTTTATCACTGATGGACTGTTATGAAACTTGTCAATTTCAGCTAAGAAAAAGAGTAACATGCACATTTTTGGTGCTTTCCTTGTGTATAAAAATAAGAGTGAAATTACTGTCTTAGGTTTAGCATGTTCACCCTAACTACTTAACATCACACTGTTGCATAAAGTTGGTTTACAAATGTGTAATTCTGTGAATGGTGTATGAAAATTTCAATTGTTTCAGATCCTTTCCAAAATTAGTAACGTCAGACTAATATTTATACTTTTATATTTATATAAACATTTATTATCCTTATTACACTCTAAATTTTACAAAACATTTTACTATTCTAATTTTAAATTTACCTTTAGCTTGAAAATTGCATTACTCTTTTCTCTTTCTATGACTGTGATTTCATTTAGATTTATTCATATGTAACTGTGTTGAACATATATGCTTATTAATATTTCATTGTACAGTTTTATAAACTTTCTTCTTTAGGTTCCAAATAATCCTTTGTTAAGAGCAAATGTTACAGCAGAGGCATTTTCCTTAATTGAACATTTTTTCAGATGACTTTGAGAAAATATGATTAGGTAACAGCATGTTGTAAGGGAAACCAGTGCAATTTAATAACACTTAAAAGGATTAATAAAAGAAAAACTAGGAATTAAGAATGAACATACAAAGTCTTCTATTAAGGTATTTCCACATAGAATACAGAAAGTTTTTTTAATGTCTATTAAGCTAAAGGTTTTGATTAGTTTTTATAGAATTTAAGACCCCACAGTAGTCTGAAGGCAATCTGCCTTAGCTTGCTGTTTCCCAAAATTATAACAAATGAGTGGCCCGATGGAAAGAGAGTTGGAACCACCATGACAAACATCATGACCTCATACCACTGTAGCTTAAGGAAGATCCAATTTCCAATTAGAGTGGAAATAAAGTAAATGATGAAGAGGAGGAGAAATGTTGTCACCATTTTCATGGCCCTTTTATGGGCCTCTGTGTTGAAGTCTCTCAAGTGGTTCAGGTTGACTTGGAAATTCTTGGTGTGTCTCACCAGGGAAAGAAATAAAAGCAGCAAAGAGGCCAAGGAGAGAAGAAAAGGAATAACATATGTCAAGCTGAGAAGAATAAGGCTTTTAAGATAGAAAATTTTGCTTGCATCTAAATGCAAAGTCATATTCCTTTCAGGTTCTCTAAAGGTGTTCGTCCACAGTTCACCAAGAGCATCCTGCATTAAGAGGTCAAAAGATAATAAGAAGAAAGATGCCAGGAAAAGCACAAGAAGCACTCGGTTCATTCTCCATTTCAGCCACATGAAAAAGAAGTGAGAGAAACTGGCTATCTTAAGGAAGTAGAATATGCTTAGGCAGGTGGCAAACCACATAGTTAAGTGATTCGTTAGAGCCCAAAGAAGAATAACTACTTTTACTAGTTTACCAGTGGCATACAGATGTGGCGCTAATCCTACTACAAATGAATCCAAAAGTGTTACCCACAGCTGAATGATTCTGGCCACAGCCAAGCAGGTAAGGATGAAATCAGCTGATGAGACTTTTCCATTCTTGACCCACTCGATGCAGTTTACCAGTCCAATGAACCCATTTCCCAGTACTCCTAAGATGAATTCTCCTGTTGACACGGCTAGAAAGAAGACCCTTTTTCCAAATGACATTTGTATAAGAATATTTCTAACGTTATGTGTCACTGAAAACTTTATAGTTAAACAGTTGCAGACTGACATCCACTTATGTTTTCTTTAGTATTTTCTTCATAATTCCAGGAAGTAAAGCCAAAATTCTGCTATGTGATTTAGATGCACAGGTCTTCACAAAACAGTAGTTTATTCTTTTTATATTGTTAACTCCAGTGCTACACCAAACAGTTCTATCAACAGGTAACAAAGCTTCATGAATACCTTTCTTATGACTTACAGTCAGTTGCTATACAATTTTCAGAATAAACGCTAACAGTGTCTGCTTATCCTTGACACCAGCTGCAGTCTCCCATTTCTGCTAATGACTAAAAGAATAAGGTCAGGTATGTCAACATGCAAATATGAGGGAGACTGGTTTCCACTAATTTGTACTTTCACCTTCCCCAAATCATATATTTGAATGCAAATATTTTAATTTTGAATAGGAATTTCTAGAAAAAATATATTGATTCAGTTTATATTTCTCACTCATCAATAAGATCCTTCTAACTCTCAAGAATTTTGTAGAATCAGTATGATTTATAGGAATAAGAAAGTTATTTATTTTTCAAATTGGGCACGCAGGTACAAGGACAAATATATTAGTAAATATATGTAGTACTAATTATATTAGTACAGGATACTGTAGAAGCTAAGTCAGAAATTATAAGCAAAATAGACTGCAATGTACATGAGGAGGATACAAGTGCTACAGTGCAGAATCAATTATGATTTTATGAAGAAATGAACAAGTAGTGTAAACTTGACTAACTTGACTCTTTTGAAATTTAGGAAGAAATAGAAGAAAAAAAAAAGAACTCAAGTCTGATGTAAGGACATATTAGTATTATCAAAATGACATGAAAAAGCTCTGAATAGAGACACTTGCTTCCTTTCACAGTAATTTGTTGCTATTTTCCTTGGAATGTGACTAAGTGCCCTCCTACTTCCATGTCCTCAATTCCATGTTCTCATTTCTGGGCTAGAGGTGACCACATTCCCAGCTTTCATTACAGATGGTTGTGGCAATGTGATCAAAATCTGAGCAATGCTATGTAAGTTAAAATTATGAGCACAATTTTAGGCCCATCCGCTCTAAATATACCCATGCACAGTTTTCCCCATGCCTTTTTCTTCCAGCTCTCTTGAAAGAGAGATAACTCCAAGCATTCTTGGAAGCAGCATGTTAAGGATGGCAAACTTCTGATTAGCCTGATTCATGGATAACTGCCTAGAGAAGGCTGCTCTGACATATCACTACTCTTAAGAGAGCAATATTAAATGTGCATTGTGTTGGAGTCACGTAATGCTTAGGAGCTTATTTGGGGCAATTTGCCTACCCAGTCTAATGCATAAATTGGAATTGAGACTGTGTAGACTTGTGTAGAAGCAATTGAATGGTGAGGAAACAAAATTAGGAAAGTTTATGCAGAGTATGTGATGAGTTTCATTTTCATTGGTTTCCAGCCCTCATAGTTTATCCATCCATTTAATGACTAGAATATCATTTGAAAGAACTCTTCTATAGACTGACTTTTATATCCAGGAATGGAGCAGGAAGCAGGATTAACATGATCCACACACTGTAGGGTTTACATTGTCCTGGGACAGAAAGATAGTTAAAAGCAATGAATAAGTCAGATGTGGAAATTATTTACCTTAAGGCAAATAATGATGTTACAATTTAATAGCTAAGAATTAATATAGACATGTAAATACAGTTGTCAAACAGGTTTATATGATTCTTTTCTGTAGTGAAAATTGCTATCAATACTACATCAATACATTTTCTATTTCATCATTTTCCCTAAGATTGTCATAAAACAGGTTTTTTTTTTTTTAAAACAGGTTTTGAAGACATTACCTATAATTATTATAAAGACATCATAGATACCACTTTAACACATGCAGAAAAGCCACTGATTCATGTAGCATAATTTTTTACTATTCTTATATTGAATGTGTTTTTAAGATAGGGAAGATCCAAGTCTTCTTGCCTCAAGACTAAAAGGAAATTTTAGGCAGCAAAATGGATGAGAGGCTTGCATTTCAGAGGAAGCCTCAAGATGGTTTAGGGGAAATATGAATAATTTGACATCAGATGTCAGCTTCAACACATATCTTCTTAGTTAAAAAGTCTAAAAAGTTATTTTCATAACTTCATGTGGAAATATAGCAGCACTGAAAACAAGTCATGATTAATAATTTCTTCTTCATCCATATAACAGAACTTGATTTTTTTCTAAGTTTTTGTAAAAGTGCTAGTTGCTTGTCTTCCAACTCTCTTTGCAACTCTATGGACCATAGTCCATCAGGCCCCTGTCCATGGAATTCTCCAAGCAAGAATACTAGAGTAGGTTGCCATTCCCTTCTCCAAGGGATCTTCCTGACCAGGAATTGAACCTGGATCTCCCATGTGTCAGGCAAATTCTTTACTGTCTGAGACACTAGGGAAGTTCATAAATCTAATATTCCTCCATAGAATTGATTGTACACATATGTAAAATTTATCTGAATATGATTGTTATTCTTGAATTTTATTGTGAGCATATTTACTTAAGAATATTGCTAATTAGTCTCCAATAACCATGAAATAAGTGATCATGATGGATAAAAATCTATCTCAAATATACATCTTCATGTTGATTCAGAATTGAAGGTCATTACATTCCAAATGATTGGAGACTCAAACAGAAAAATGTAAACACTGTGGTACCAATTAGAGCGAAAAATAGTCATGATTTCCTGAGATAAGTTGTCAGTTCTATAAAATTCATAAATATACATAATTTTTTCAGCAGAAAAGTGGTAGTATAGACTATGTAAGTGAAATATGCATAGCTATATAATCCTGAGGCATTTCACATAATATTTGTAAAATTAGATTGCTTATCTGGAATATATTGGTTAATGGTATGGTAATCTTATTGGTCTTATATCTTTCATAAACACATGCATACACACTTTTTTAAGAAGCTTAGGTAAAGAACTTTTCTAAGTAAAGCTTTAGACATTACTCACTTATATACATACTTAAAACAGCAATAGAAGGTATAAAACATTATAGATTTCATCCCTTAATTTTATGCTAAAAGACATATGTTTCCACCTATTTCCTTTCCTTCAGCCAGCATCTTGGCTGCCACAGAAATGACAAAAAGGCTTGGGTTAATTTCCTGTTTCCCCAGATCAAGATACATGAGTGAATTGAAGGATACATGATTAAAAGAACATCATAAAGCATTTGGACCGGTTCTTTCTGCAGCTCATTAGAATTCCAAACTGATAATATTAGAGCCAGAATGTAAATAGCAAACAGGAAAAGAAAGGAGATGACAGTTTGCATGACTTTTATGTGGACCTTGGTGCTGGGATCTTGGGATCCTTTACCATTGAGCTGCATCTTCCTGAGATGTTTACACAGGGAGAAGATTAGCAGCAGAAAAAATGTCAGGGACATAGTGAAGGGTATGAAGTTTGTTAGCGTGAACAGACTCACATTTAAAAGATGTAAAATGTCCCTTAGTTTGGTCTTCTGAGTGGTATTTCCTTCATATTCATTTGTCTGAAGAGCCTCATCTATGCTTAACACTGCAACTTGAGAAAACAAGAACAATGAAGTTCCCAACATCATCATGAGAACTACACTTTTAACTCTCCACTTCAGGTGAAGAAAAATTAGGCCGGAGAAATTGGCTATCTTCAACAAATAAAATATACTGAGGCTAGTAGCAAGCCAGTTACTAAAGTGGTTGCTTACTGTCCAGGCAACATGAACAATAATTTTTACTTTTGAATTATATAGAGTTGGATTATACATATTTACATACCAACTTATTAACATTGCCCAGAGCATAACAATTCTGCAGAATGCCAGAGCAGTGAGAATCCCATCAGCTAAGGAGATCTTCGGTCTCTTGATCCAGTCATTGCAGTTCACCAGTGCTATGAGGCCATTGGCAAAATTTCCCAGAACAAATTCTGTCGTTAATAGAATGGAAACAATGTTTGGTATAAACATTATTATGTCTTAAAAAAATCCAAGTCTAATGTCACTGTTGTGATTCCTTCAATATTCTGACCTTAAATTCTTTGTGCAGCTGATTTGGATGTGCAGTGAAGTTCCTGTTTCTTATAAATTCTTTGATGAATATCAAGCAGGAAAGCATCAGGAAATAATATTGGAAGAGCTCATTGCTGTCTGAATGAAAAACATTGCTATTTCCTAATATTTCATATTGACTCTATTCATACTCTGTGTGGCCTTGCAATGGGATGGATTACTTCTTAACTAATGTTGAAGTAAAATATGAATTCTGATTTGCTAGCATGCAAATAAGGACTTATCATTGTGCAAATTTCTCCTGTCTAACCTCTCCACAATTTGTGTTCATCAACTTTAGTTGTTAGTGAGGAAAATTTTAAAACCCAATATGTAGTATATACAATGAAAGCCTTAACCATTAGGTGAAGCTTGGTTATAACTACATTCAACATTACTAGGATCATAATCACTAGAATCTTGAGGTTATAGGTAATGCAAAACAGACATCTAATATAGTGATGGAAACTGTCTTTTCCTAGATGGAATCAGGGCATTTTGTAAATTTTAAATGTGGCGTTAAGGGTGAACATGGGAAGCTGAATAAGTGGGCCATATTGGACAACTGCTATTACTTTCAGTCACCCGGGGACTGAATCCTATCCCTGAAGCCATGAACTATGAGATCTATCTCTCATTTTAGGAAACTAAACTGAAATACTTGCCCAGTCTGCCTTGAAATTACAAAAGCTGCCACTTCAAACAAAGAAAAATAGGATGGGAAAAGTAACTATCTTCAAGAAAGAGAAGATGCTGAGGCAGATTTCAAACTAGACACTCAAGTGGTTGATCACAAATGCAAAACAGAATTTTAAGTTTTCCAGCTTGACCAAAGTTATGTAGATCTGCAATGAACACTATGGAAATTAATCCATCA